AATTTAAATGAGCTGAAGCACATTAAAGACAATGATACCTTGATTTTACCAAAGTCAGGGTAAACCTAGGACATCCAGGACCAAAAATAAAAGGCACAACCCCACTGGATTCTCATAAGAACATAAGAACATAAGAGACGCCAATGTTGGATCAGGGCATTTAGAACCCCCCCCCCGTTTTCCCCCCCCCCCCAAGCACCATTCATTTCAGTGATACTGCACAGGAGAGTTCCCAGTGATTCTGTCCTAACTTCGTAGCAGATTTAGCAAAGACAATCTTTGGCTGTAGTTCTAAAGTAGCAGAAGATGTCTAAGAAATGTCATGACAAAACAGTATCTCATATTTCTTCTGTGTTTTTGTTCTGGTATTTTTTTAATAAAGGCGGAAGAAAGTATTTTTTCCTCAAATCAATTAAAAATTAAGTGAAAGAGCATTAGTAAAACAGCACTCATGGAAGATAATATATCTTGGTGTTTTCCTTTAAGGCAATTCTAGAACAAATACATTTATCTTATGTAACCAATTTTACTCCGTGAAAACTTTACCACGTGCTGACAGCACTACCATGTAAACACAGTGCAAATTTTGCAACCTACCCCCTAATTTTTGGTCTACATTCGTCAGCTACAGTATTTTAGAACTCTCCAACATTGTTCAAACATGTGAATAAGTAAAGTGAATAGGAGTGGCAATGTGGCAAATAGGATTTCAGGTTAGGGGGAACACTGCTCTTTAGTCAATCGCAGACGTTTGTTCTTTTTTTGAAAATCTTCTGTGCATGGGCAAAGAACATAAAAGCAAGGGTCTGGCTGAGCTAGACTCCATTACTAAGAGAGGTCTGAAGAGTGCACTGATTTCGGCTGCTACTCTGAGCCTGACTCCTGCTGCCTGAAAGACTCTGCTGTGGACTTCAGATCAGATCCTGCATGCATGAAGTCAAGACTGCGACTAGCTTGACTGAACAACATTTTTAAAAAATTCTTATTTTATTGTTTTTTGGGCTGGAGGGGGGTTTGAGGCCAAGCAGCCTTAGGCCTTTTTTTGTTCCCTTTGGTTTTATTCTTAGGTTTTAGTTCTTTCCAGTTTTGCCCTTGCAGTTGTTTTTCTGGAGTTTCATTGTAATTTGGGCCCGGTGGTAGGTTGTGTGTGAGGGGAGAACAAAAATTTCCTTCATTCTGCTCTTTGGAATGGGTTTAAAACTTATTCATTTTTGGTTCTTTTTTTGGGGGGGCTTCTGTTGGGTTTTTAAAAACTCTATTGTTTTACTTCAATTTTCTCTCTTTCCTCCACCACCCTTTACTGTTTTCTTCTTTTTATCTTTTTTTGGGAGTTGGAGGGATGGGGCTTCATTGCTTGTTTGCTCTGCTTTCCGCCCCTTTTTGGTGTGGAGGGACTTTTGGTTTAGGTTCTTCTTGCTTTCTCTTTTATATTAAGTGATTTTTCTTGCCTTTCCCCCCTCGCATTTCTTCTCTTTAGAAGGTGTTTTTTTGGGGAAGGGGGGTGTTGAGATTCACTGTTCTGTGTTCCAAGTGTGTGCTTCTGGGTTCAAAGTACAATACTTAGGTGCTGCTAAATAGGCTTTTAGTAATAAAGGTCTGTTTTATGAGTTGTTCACATTTTAAACACTTTTCATTAAATTTCAGCATAGGGCTTCAGTTCCTTCCTAACTAGGCCAGGACTATGAGGATGTTAAAAGAGGGAAGGTTGTGTGTGTCTTCAAAATAGTGGTATAAAGCGTGCAATGCTCTGAGTTTCAGTGAGAGCAGGCACTTTTAGACAAATTCCCCTTTAGGTTGTCCTGTAGTTTTTCAATTTTCAGAGGGACCTCCTGCCTGTCCATAAAGGAAATCAGGCTTATTCCATTAGAATCTAGTCAGGAGAAGTTTAATAAAGAGCCTTAAACTTTGAGGAATTTCACATTACCCTTTTTAACCCGTTGAAGCCATTTTTGATCCGTCATGGAGTAAACCGGTATAGGGCTGCCATTTCCGGTAAAGAACTGGATCTGAAGCGGTTTGCCATTTCAGACTGCACCGCTTTTTCCGCGCCATTTTTCGCCCATGCGGGCAATCTCCAGCTTGCTTTTTTAAATGTTCGCTTTATAACGCTATAGTACTATAACAAAACACTCCAGGCATTCCAATGGGGTTGATATAATGCTGTTCCATTATAGCATTATAGCACTATAAAGCGAACGTTTTTTTAAAAAAGCCAGAGATCGCCCGCGTGGGCAAAAAACGGCGGGAAAAAGTGCATCGGAACCAGGAGAGGAAACTGAAGACTACTTGGAAGTGGTTGACAGGTAAAACGCTTCAGCCCCGTTTCCTAAACAGGACAGAAGCGTTTGTGTCTGAAATTACAAATATATTCCGGTAGGGAACCGGTTCTAAAACTGTTCTGTCTGAAATGACAGACCAGAAACCGTTCCTCTTCCGGAATATATTATCTGTCTGAAATTCCTCTTTTTAAATGTTCTACTGGATCTGCTGCTGGGTAGTAGTAGGTTGGCATGGGGTTGTGCTGCTGGACACTATTGCACTGGGTCTGCTGTCCCTGCAACTCCCACCCACCCCCGAATTAGATTGTGATTTTGGGGTTGACATCAGTCCTGTTTAGCTGGCATTTGCCACAATGGCACTGGGTTCTGCTGCTGGGCTCTACTGAACTGCTTCTGCTGTCCTTGCAGAAATGCCCCCCCCCTACTTCAGAGATTCTCAGAATTGACCTTAGTCCAGTTGGATTTTGGCACTGCCACAGTGGCACTGGTTCTGCTGCTGGCCTTGCAAAAATGCCCCCCCTTACACACACACATTTCACTTTCTACTGTAGAGATTCTCTGGGACATTCTATTGGGCTTGTATTGCCTTGCTGTTTTCCCCATATTGAAACAATGGAGGATTGGGGGCACCTTCTTTTGGTGCCCATAGAACTGGACCCTCTGGTCCATTCTTTTTGAAATTTGGGGGTTCTTTTAAGGAAAGGCTCCAGCAGCTACACTGCAAATTTGGTGCCTCTACCTCACCCCCCCCCCCCCCGACCACTTAATATACCCCAGGATAAATTTGCCATTGACTTTAATGGTCCCCATATAATATCATAAACACAAAAAAATTCAGAATTCGCAATTAGTACTGAACCCAAATACCATACCGATACTGGGATTCAGGAATATTGAGAAATATCGATATTTTTGGGGTCCTACTCGAATCTGTTTAGCCAAATAGCACAAAGACAGTGATGCTAGCCTGCATGGTTTTTAAATAGCTTAAACCTTAATTAGGGATGGGTAGTTCCAATATTATGTTGTCTTAGCAACCCTGTGGCACACCAATGAGCTTTAAATTTCTACAGCAAAAGTGCATACTCAGGAACACTTAGCATTGATTAGTCAAGCTTCAACTGCTAAGAGAGCCTGAATACACATTTTTAAAAAGGGGTTGTATCCAATGATTTTCACATGGCTAGATCTTTCCTGCCTCCTACACCAATGCTCCACAATAGTACCTCAGAGGAACAGTGGACACCCCTCCTAGGAACATATGCTAACTTCCTTTTAAAACAATTTTAATTAATTTAAATAAGATGGCAATAGCATACAACTAAGGATGGGCACAAACTTGTGGAAATGTGGTTCAGTTTGTGGCGTGCCCCATTCATGAACCATGAACCATCACAAACTTTTAGCTGCCTCACAAATTGGTCTGGTTTGTGTGGTGGTAGAACGGACCCCCGGCATACTAGAGACACCAAACTCACAACTGTTATTTCCTCAGAAAGCACTTTCCTGGGAGTACCTTGTTTGGGGAGCCGTAACTCGGACCCCATAAATCCAATCCTCAACAAACATGGAGGCAAGTAGGAGAGTCAGCCGGAGACCCCCTGCAATATTGGTATCTCTGGCTTGCATATACACTCTTGAACCTGCACCTGTCAAAATGACAGTCATTTTGAGAGGTGCAAATTCAGGATTGTATAGAGTTGAATTTGTGCAAGCTAGAGACATCAAAGTCACAGGGGACCTCCCCGGATGCTCCTCTACATGCCCTCCAAGTCGTTGCTTTGAAGTTTTGTAAAGATTTTGATCGAGTGGAGACAATCTGTCTGGAAATGTCTCAGCTTATGAGCAAGCATGAATCTCCATGAACAGCCTGGAAGTTTGTGGAAAGTTTGTGCCCGTTGACCTGCCATGAACTTGACTTTGTGATCCACAAATCAGCCAAAATTCATCACAAACTTTAGTTCATGAGCTGGTTCATGCCCATCCCTCCATACAAGTCTTCTGGGGGAAAAGGGAGGACCTGCCACAGTAACGACACTGACAAATGAGATCAGATGATTTAAGGCTAAATGTTGGTAAAGCTATTGTTTGCCTAGAGCAGCTGACACACAACACATTTAAGGTAACTATTTTTATCTGAATAATTGCACTGGTAAATGCCTGAGATGCAGGCATGTATGTATGTGTGTTGCAGAAGCCAGAAATATTTCTCAACTGGAACCAATGGTACTTTTGTCCTAATATGGGGCAACTTCCAATTTTCTTTTTCTGTTAATCCTGCCAGTGGTCCCAGGCACGCTTAACTCCATAACAAGACTGTTTACTCTAGTAGTAGATTATACCAGGGAGCATCCATGTATGGGAAATTAAGATCCATTACTTATACCACATATGTAATAATCACCAGATATCGACTATATTTTTGTTAGTTTTATCCAGTGAGTAGTCTGCCTGGGTTATCTAGAAGGCAATCATTTTGTACCCTTTATTAATCCACCCATCTGTCAGAAGCTACCAAGAACACTGAACTGAAGTGAAATTCCCAGTATTTCTGTTACTGAAATACCAACAACAACAAAAAAAGACAACTAATACTGCAAAATAATAGTAGTGAAGTTAGGAAGTCTTCAAGATAACCAATTACGGAGAGGCAAAATACAGCAGAAACCACAGTGCATCTCCTTGCAATGTTATATACAGAAGACATTTTGTTTTACACATGGATTGCTTTTAAAGCTACCACACATAGCATGAGTAGTAAATCAAGGGAAAATAATTATTAGTCTAAAAAATAAAAAGTTATGCAGATTAACAGCTATTTAAAACAATGGCTAAAGGTAACATTAAACTGAATGGAAACGCCACTGCTGTTTATGACAGCTTTCCAGTAAAGCAAATATTTGAACACGACAACCTGTAACAGGTGTTTTCCCCCCATCATGTGTATACTACTGTCACATTATTATTTATTCAAACAAAAGACAGTCTCAGGTGTAACAAAGCTAGTTTTGTTTAGAACTTCTATCACTCACAAAATTATGCTACATTAAAATCTGAGTTGCTAGTTGCAGCTGCACTTATTCAGCCCCCCCCCCAAAAAAAGTGTTTACTCCCTAACATCAGTTTTCCAAACTTGCTCCTAGAAGACATTTCCAGTGAAGGCAAAGATTTTGTTAAATATGCATAGCAAAAAGATTTTGAATTTAAAGTTATTGTCCTGCAAATTTGAATGTTTCCTTAGTATTTCAAACAAACAGTGATCATCGGTATAGACTTGGCCACGGATGGGAGAAGCTAACATATAGTATCCATTTTCATACTATCCATGCTGGAAGATTCTGTAGAATCAGAAAATGGTCACTAAGGTTATGGTTGAGCAGTACTATGGATACTATGAAACAGAAGAAATTGGATTGAGAGGAGAGCCCATTTGTGTAAGTACTTTATCCAGCCACTGGAGAGGCCCATGAAGATGAATTTCTATCCAGCATGGGGTGCTTGTAACATCTTGTCGGTGATATTCTGCTCCCCATCCCTACAAAAGTGATACATATTTATTAGTCTCAAAATTCAAAGTGAAACCAACAACTGATGCCATATTATTCGTACAATAAATTCCTAATTTAAAAAAACCAAAAAACCAGAAATATCTCCCTTTTAAAACGTCTAGCAGATTACACCCAAGGGAGTGTATCAGAGTGCAGGAAAGGACAGCAGAATAATGCACTGTCCTCACATAACACATCCTTAACAATGTTGTCACTAGAGGACACACACTATCACTCAAGCCTCATGTTTTAGGATTTATGGAATACCTGAATTACTACATATTTAGGAGGGGTGTGTGTGTGGGGAGAAAATTATAGCTCACTGAGCCACCCTGAAGGCATGTAACCAGTCCTCATCCTGCTTGGAAAGGGCCATGAAAACAATATAGAGGCAAAGTCTTTCTTTCTAGCTAGTACGTGTTTCAAAGTGGTCTACACCGAAAAGATAGAATATGTTGCAAAGAAGAATACATCTAAGCATGCAGATTCTCTAAGATGGTGAAAGATACAACTAGATTTGCAATATTAATATATGGGAAAAATCAAGATGTTGGAATTATAAATTCAAAAAGTGTTAGAGGTTTGACTATATATTCAAATCACTATTAAGGTAAATTATGTCAAAATTCATTTTTGTCATTTTGTCATTTTGTCAGTTGCCATACTACTAAGGTGACTCAATTTTGCTCAGATTATGACCAGAGATGCACTAAAATTAGGACAAATAAAGTTCACTTACTTTTACAAAACTCATCCGAATTGTACACATTTTGGTAAGTTCATATACAGCCTCAAACCCATGATTCACTGACTGAGCTAAAAGCTGAGCAAATTCCTGATTGTTAAAAATTTTTAGGCTACAGCCGCTAGGAATCTTGCACACAGTTGTAGGGTGAAATCCATGATGGTAGTTGCAATTCCTGCTCTGTACGAATATACTGCTGTCACTCAGGCACTCAGCATAGACTTCTCCACCAACATAGTAAAGATGGACACCTGAAACACAAAAATGAAAAAAAAACCACCCTCAAAAATGTAAAACGTCTATAATTCAATTCAATATTTCAAAATTCAATTCAATTTAATAGTTCAGTAATTATATACCAGGAGTTCCAATATAGCTTTGTATCTAATTACTACAGCACAGTTAACTTTTGTACACTGCTGGAAATCAAGCAGGATGCCTGAAGTTAGTGAATGGCTCAGTAAAGTGAAGGAGGTTTTTCTTATGCTACAACTTACATCTCTCCAAAGGAATGAGAACTGTGGTTTACTAAGTGGTTTACAGAGTGGTGAAGAATTAAGAATATAAGAATTTTATTTGTTTTGAAATGTGTATGAATGTGAATAAATAAAATTAAATTAAAAAATAAAAAAACCAAACCTTCTTAGATTTCAGGCACAGTTTCTATTTAAAAGGATTATCAAAGGAGCCATTTCTAGATGCTGACATACATCAGAGCAAGGAAGGGGAATTGTGGGAAGATGTCTGCCAGCGCTTAATATCTAGCCTGACCTTCTGTTTTCCTTTGGTTGCAGGAACACAAGACCTGGGTGTTGCCAGAGGTATGAGCCTTCTGAAGAGCCAAACTCTTGGCCCACAGCCTGCAAAAGATGGCAGTGAATGCCCAGCCCAGGATGTTGTTTAATGTGTGTGTGGTTTTGGTTCTTAAATTGTATTCTGTTATTGCATTGGTATTTTCTGTGAGCCACTCCAGATCGCCAAGATAAGAAATGCTTTAAATCAGAGTAAATTTTCATTTTAAAAAATCTAGTACTTTACCAGCCACTAGATGTCCTCTTCCCACAAACTACAGAAATTGATTTTTCAACATATAAGCAAACAGTGTTAAAAATTAACCATTTTATTAACGCTAGTATTCCGTTACCAGTATCCTGTCACCACTCACCAGGAACACGACAAAGTAGATTAAAGCATCTGCTCATATGGTAATTTCATAAATTCAAATGAAATGATTTGGTTTAAATGTATTATGCCAAAGCATACTATATATTTCCCTCCCTATTTGCATTGTTTCATTTTGGACTACTTAAATACATTCTGGACACTCACCTCTAAAGTCCTTCCCTTTCCCTTTAACAGCCCTGCTGCCAGACCTAGGCAAGAGCCAGCATCTCCATCCCTCAACATTTACACTTGGAAAGCCTTAAATGTTTTATTTTGTTATTAAGACAGCAAGCTATGCAAGCATCAGGAAGCCACACATACACAAAAACACTGAAATGGGTGCATCAAAAATCAAGTATTGAAAGTCAATACAATATGTGATATAAGAAATAAACCCTGCAAAAGCACAGTTTTATTACCTTTTCCAATATGTCTCCGGGTGTTCTCAATTGTTGAGTTGCGATTAACATTAGAGAGTAAACCTAAGCAGAATCTGTTTTTGTTGTTAGAGGGATCTGTAAATCCATCTACTAAGATACTAGTGGAAGATGCATGAAAAGCCTCCCCTACTCGATTGTTTAATTCATAATACACAATTGAACACCAGTGCTTGGGTTCTTCATAGGCAACAGGGTGAACATCTATGAAATAAGCAAAGAAAATAAATGGATATTTAATATCTCAAAGAGGCACATGGTAACACAATACCTAGCATTAATACTCCTGCGTATTCTTTGATCTCTTCACGTGCTTCTCCTTATAGTCCATGGGCCAGTCCAGATGTCAGTATCAGGTAGTGTGGCAAAAAAAATTAATGTTTTTTTGACTGGTAATTTAAGCTTTTTATGATATCATCAAGACGCCTGAAAGCCAATTTTTCCTACCTTTTCTAATTTGAGTTACAACTCACGAAACAAGTGACCAATTTGAATTTCTAAAGCACTGCTGGAAAGCTAATAAATTCCCTACCGTGATATAAAGCATAAATCAAAGAAAAAAGTAAATTCTTTCCACATTGTTATTAGGTTCATAGCATATAGTGCTTCACCTAATTGAGACTGTCACCAGAAGTGTATTAGACAATTGTAGTTAATTTCCCCCCCTTCCCAACGAGCATGAAGAAATTCATTTTGCTACACCAGTTAGGTACATGAGAACAGTTCCTTGTTTTAAGTCATTTTTATCTACTGTAACTGGATAATAAGCAACTTTCTGTTACTGCAAAGAAAGCATGAAAACATGATATGCTGCCCATCAGAAGCTGCTAGTACTAATGAGCTTCATGGGGATGAAAGGAATAAAGCCAATTTTCACAGAAAATAGAAGACAATAGCAGGAACCTAGCAAATAGAAAGATTCTCCCTTGGCATCAAATTATTAACAGGTCTACCAAAAATGTTTAGTTTACCTCTGCTGGAGATATTTGGCATTATTTGAGGAATCATATTACTGCTTGTGTCCATAGACTGTGAATTATCTTGTCCCATTTGATCGTCAGGGGGCATATATGCAGGTGGTGGTGTGTCTGCTAATAAAAAAAATTTGAATAAGTTGAGTACACTTTATACAGCCTAGTCAGAGTTCTTGTTCTATTACATCACTCCCATTTACTGGTAAACCCTTCTTCCTGTCGTCTTCTTTTTTGCTCCCTTCAGGGACTAACGGTTCTCTATTTAACATATTTTATGTCATATTTAAGAACATAAGAGAAGCCAAAGTTGGATCAGGCCAATGGCCCATCCAGTCCAACACTCTATCACACAGTGGCCAAAAATACCAGGTGCCATCAGGAGGTCCAGCAGTGGGACCAGGACACTAGAAGCCCTTCCACTGTTGCCCCCCCCCCCGGCACCGAGAATACAGTGTATCACTTGCCCCAGACTGAGAGTTCCTATCTATACCTTGTGGCTAATAGCCACTGATGGATCTCTGCTCCATATGTTTATCTAATTCCCTCTTGAAACTGTCCATGCTTGTAGCTGCCACAACCTCCTGTGGCAGTGAATTCCATGTGTTAATCACTCTTTGGGTGAAGAAGTACTTCCTTTTATCTATTCTAACTCAACTGCTCAGCAATTTCATTGAGTACCCACAAGTTCTTGTGTTGTGAAAAAGGGAGAAAAGTATTTCTTTCTCTACCTGCTCTTTCCCATGCATAATCTTATAAACCCCGATCATGTCACCCCCTCAGCCATCATTTCTCCAAGCTAAAGAGCCCCAAGCTCTTTCTTCATAGGAAAAGTGTTCCAACCCTTTTATCATTCTAGTTGCCCTTTTCTGCACTTTTTCCCATGCTATAATATTCTTTTTGAGATGTGGTGACCAGAACTGTACACAGTATTCCAAGTGAGGTCACACCACTGATTTATACAGGGGCATTATGATACTGGCTGATTTGTTTTCAGTTCCCTTCCTAATAATCCTGAGCATAGCATTGGCCTTTATTGCAGTTGCACACTGTCTCGACATTTTCAGTGAGTTATCTACTACAACTCCAAGATCTCTCTCTTCGTCAGTCTCTGCCAGTTTGGATCCCGTCAATGTGTATTTATAGTTAGGATTTTTGGCTCCAATGTGCATCACTTTGCACTTGGCCACACTAAACCCCATTTGCCATGTTGACGCCCACTCGCCCATCCTTGACAGATCCCTTTGGAGTGCCTCACAATCCTCCCTGCTTTTCACTACCCTGAACACCTTCACGTCATCTGCAAATTTAGTCACTTCACTGCTTATGGAGCAATATGGGGGACCACCTTGCAGTGGCTAGTCTCCTTTCTCCATTGTCGGGGGACAGATGGTGGCACTTGGGAAGAGGGTTTCAGCAACAACAGCCACAACAAAACCAACAAGAAACAAAAAAAAATTCAGCATCAAAAAACTAGCTTACAATAATAAAGACAAATATTCAAAATATTATACATGCAAACAACAAATAGAAAGCAGGACAGGAACAACTGAATCGTCTACTGAATGTTTAGTACACATTTGGCCCCTCCAGAAGCCAAGTAGAAAGAGCAGTCTCCCAGCCCTTCCTAGAGCAACAAAGACCACACCACTGCCTCAAGGCAATCATTATAAAGGCCACATTCCAGTTGCTACAGTTCTTACTTCAAGCATCACTGGAATACAAAACACTGCAGTACAAAACAGGCCTAATTAGAATGCAGCTGGCATGGGAGCCAATATAAGAACAGCCAAACTCAAGTATCTGGGTCCTATGAAAGTTAAGTGCTTTAAAACAGCAAAACCAGAACCCTGTATTGGGTTCAGAAGTTAACAAGCAGTTTATCTCCAAAGCCACACACAAACACAGCAAGTCATAACAGTAAAGCATACAAAAGCAGTTTACTACTGGTCAGTTATTCTTTCTCCTATGCTCACATGCATTTTCCCATTCTGTTTAGCCCTCTATGAAACAAACAATGTTCTACATAATGGATGCCTGGTTTTTCAGATCTTGATTCTATTTTCATTGATATCAATGGAAGATGCATGTGAATACTTTGAGTCTAAGCTGTCACTTCTAATTATTGCATTTATTTGTATTTATCCCATAGAACTTTCCACATATGGTATTTACCATTCCCCTAGCCCTCTCCCCTCCTCCTCCCTTTGTAATATGCTTGACAGCTGTATATCCAATTTCAGATAATATTTCAAAACCCCTGCTGATTCTTCATCCAGCACTGTTGTGTCTCTTTACTATCTCCATTTCAGTCAACTTCTGTCCTCTTATGCAGATGTCACAGGATTAAGACTATTCAAACCTAACATTAAGTCCTATTACCTACACTACTGCCATACCTGAAGGACCATATCTCCTAGTATGAACCTGTGCAGCATCTCAGATCCTCTCATAACTTTTTTTTACTGTTAAATCAGATTGCTACAGCTTGAATGACACCTTTTTCAGCTGTAGTGCCAGCTGCCTGGAACAGCCCCCCAAAGTTGATTAAGAGGGCTCCTACAATGACCTGTTTCAGAGGCACAGTGCATAAAGGCCTTTACTGAAATGAGAGAGGCTAGATCTGTTGTAGCAGTTTTTTAACAGAGCTTGGATAGCACTGCTTTTTAAGTTGCAATGGATGGCAAGAAAAGTGGGATATAAATATTTAAATAAAACAAACTATGTTTTCACATTGGAGCCAGACACGAAAGAAAATAACCAAACCACTAGATTTGTGTAACCATGGCAGATGCAACAAAAACAGTACCTTATCAATCCACTGGCCCCCTATTATCTTGTTAAATCTTTTCTGTTAGTTCAAACTGCTGGAGATGTAATCAAAATGAGCTTCATCTTAATCCCATGCTATAACTCCCTAGCGCCCTAAGAGATTATTGGTCAGCAGTGGTAAACTAACATTATGGACTCTTCCCGTTCACCAACTTAAGAACTGTATTCAAAAGAGCATGGGCACTGAGTGGCGCTAAACAAGGCTGGTTATGCTGTGCTGCTCTTATTGCCGTGTCTAGTAGTAAAACCTGGAAGGCCAAAGATCTTATAGAAATCCAGGTCTGGGTGATAGAAATACTAGTTTTAGCTCTTAAGGAGTGGACTGCTTACAAAAGATGACAAGTTTCACAAAGAATACTAAAAATCTACATCTATTTTTAGACTATTTTAAGTAAATATCTAATTTATAGCAAAACTCTTTCTTTCTGGTTCCTTTTTTCCTACATGTGTCCTACTAGGTTAAAAATAAAGCCTAACACCAACTACACTGTTGTAAGAAAGCTGAAAATGCAGGACCTGGAATGTAGATCTCTTAACAGACTGCATTAATTTATCTATTTGCTAGAATTGCATGGTTACTTATATA